CACGTCACGGGAGGGACCTTGTGAGAAGTAATTGAATCATGGCAGCTGGTTTTTCCCCTGCTGTTCTGGAGATTGTAAATAAGTCTCACAAGAGCTGATGGTTTCATAAAGGGGAGTTCCCAACAAGCTCTCTTGCCTACCACGATGCTCCTCCTTTGCCTTCTGCCATGGTTGTGAGACCTCCCTAGCCGTGTGGAACTGAAACCATTAAACCTCTTTTTCTTTATAAGTTACCCAGTCTTGGGGAAGTCTTTTAGAGTCGTGAGAACTGACCAACACAGAGGTAAAACAGGAAGAGCCTAAAGTTACAGGTGCTGATGGTTCTGGTGAAAAACACAAAATTCATTAGATTATGCAAATTATCCTCGGCTAAGAGAAAAGAGGCAAGAGCAGGAGAGGGGGTGAAGAGAGGGTGTGAGAGACAGATGGACACTTGGAGGTCAAGAAGAGGACAGTGGGGCCAGGTGCTGTGGTTCATGCCTGTAATCCCAGCACTTTGGCAGATCCTTTGAGGTCAGGAGTTTGAGACTGGACTGACCAACATGGCAAAACCCTGTCTTTACTAAAAATATGAAAAAATTAGCTTGGCATGGTGGTACATGCCTGTAGTCCCAGCTACTTGAGAGGCTGAAGCAGGAGAATCACTTGAACCTGGGAGGCCGAGTTTAAAGTGAGCCAAGATTGCCCCACTGCACTTCAGCCTGGGCAACAAAGTGAGACTTCATCTCAAAAAAAAAAAAAAAAAAAAAGGACAGTGGGACCCGGAAGCCAGAAGTCCAGGGACCTGGGTTGTTTTGATTCCCTGATCTCTGCACCTACAGAAACAGTGGGCCCTTGGGGATCAACAGAGGAGAGGGCCGAGGACTAAAGGGACACTTCCGATGCTTTAAAGCTTCTTAAGACCGAGGGTCTTTATATATCCCTCATGGGCTTTTCTTCTAACCCCACAAGATTGGGACACATTACTTTGTATCTCTTCGAACACAGATTTTAGTTCACAGTTTAAGGTTGACAGTTTCAAGAAGAGAGTGCATCATAAAAGCTCTTGGAGGAAAATCTCCCATTCAAATTACACATTAGTGTATTCGCTGATTTATGTAAATAAAGAGATTAATAATGATAAAGATAAGTAATTTGCATATTTTAAATATGTAACAGGGTTTGAGAATATAAAACAGTGGCTTCTAAGTTGAGTAGTCGTTTGATATTAAGCAACACTTAAAAGTTAGTGAAATGAAAATAAAATTCTCTTTAGGCAACATATATAAGCTTGGGAAGCAGGGACATCATGTATAACCTAATGATTAACCCAAATCTTTTAATATTCATTAAGATTCCCAAACTAGAGCCAAGAATAGTTGATCTATAGTTGCTTCTCCTGGCTATCTTATTATAACATACTGTATTTATGTTTATTTATCTTAAATTCCTGATTTATAGCAGAACTTATAGATATTCCCACTGGGATCCTCAAACTCTTAATTTGTTTACATATTTTGGATTCTTTCCAGATTTATGTGAATAGTAGCTGATCCAAGAAACAAACAAGCGGAAATGTCTTTGAATAACATTCTTTTACCATCGGGTCACACATACATCCATTCAGTAAAACAGGCAACTGAATTCCTGAACTGGGCAGTTCAATAATACATTTTTGAAACTCAGGTGGGATTAAAGAGAATATTCCATTTAAGCAAGAAAAGAAAAAAGAACTATGAACTTAACAAGGTCTTAAAAACACACACAGGATAGGAAAAAAAAATCCTCCAAACTATTGAAGAAAATTAGTAACACAGATTTTATCGTCTATTTCCTCCTTCTCAAAGGGATGTTTTGTTATCCACTTAGACAGAAGAGCTTGCTTTCAACCAAATTAAGAGCTCAGATGTTAAGAATAGAAAAGGAAAAAAATAGAAATAAAAACATGACATACCAATAAACCAACTAATTTCAATTTCAATAGCCTGTTTTATAATGAGGTAGAACAAAGAACATAATGGATAGCTCTCAATGGCAAAGCTCCAGAAAACTCATTCAGTTAATCTTATTAGATGCTTTGCCGAACCTTATCCAAATAACACAATTATTACAATCTGCAGACTAGTGGAAATACTTACAAAATTGGCCACTATCTAGAATCTCAAATCGTGTCTTCAACTTGAGTCAAAACCATCCCTAAGATTGTCTTGTTGAAGCTTTTGCCTCAAGGCTTAACTGCAATTTTGCAAAATGGAAAATAAGTGAAAGCATTGAGGTAAAATTCTGGATGTACATTTAATAAGAGTTTTGAATCCTTAAGAACAGTCCTTCCTACTTCTGATCCATTTCCCTAAAAAACTGTCCAAAGTAGATGGACTATTGTTGGTCCAAAATTATCCTACGTTAGAAATGCTGGAATTCCAGTTTGGCTTCTAGAGTGTCCAGCGATCATGAGTTCTTAATCTCCGCATCTACCTTTTTACAACTGTCACGTCAAAAGGTTGATACAGACCTACCTTGTAGAGATGCTGGAAGGATTAATTAAGGTTAAATTAAAACAAAAAAATGCATTTGACAAGCCAGGCTTCATTAATTCTGCTAAACAGTCCCACAGGTTTTAACAACTGTTCAGATTATTTGGTAGCATCCTAAGTAGAGAATTCATTTGCATAATGCATCTCAGCTGTGAAGTCATTGTTAAACGATTCCAATGTTTCAGATAAGAGAAAAATGACCTGGCTCCACTCTGGCCTCTCACCAAACCGGGCACCATTCACCCCCATGTTTTCCTGCTGACCAAACATTGGCGAACATATGTGATTAAGAGAATCCCAAGACAAGGAAAGACTTCATACTTCCTTTTTCCTAGGCATTTCTCTGAACCTTCCTTTCCCTTTGTAAAGATTAATAGATTTCAACTCTCTTTTCATGTCTTGCTGTGTTGCTGAGGCACAAATGCTACGGCATCTCATGTTCGTCAAGAAAGTGCTTGCTTCCATGTTTTCTTCTTCCACTTTGATTCAAGTGTATCTGATCATTCATTGCCTGAGGAAATCCCAACAACTTTAGAGCTCACAGAGATAGCACTGATAGTAATTTTACGTACATTATCAGTCTTCTTTGTTTCACCAGCACCTACAGATCCAAAGATGTTCTAAAATATGTCTTTTGGGGATGGAGATGGGGAAAGGAAGAGTACTGAAACACTGAAAAGCAATGTGCATTATTCTTTTTATTTCTCTTGTTATTAAAGGAAAAATGGTTTCATCTTTGAGAGTCATTCTTTTAGGACATCTTAAAATCGTATGTTTTTAAATACTGCATAGCATAGTGCTTACAAATATAGGCCCTGGGGCTAAATAGCCAAATTTGAATCTCATTCCTTTCACTTGCTGCTTGGTTGACTCTGAGTATGTTATTCAAAAAGTATGTGCCTTGGTTTTCATATCTTTTAAATGGTTATAGGTGTACTACCTAAGCACATAAAGTTATTATGAAGAATACAGAAGTTACGTGCAAGTAAAATACTAAGAACAGTTTTCGGAACATAGTGATCATTCAGTAAGTTAGCTTTTTTAATTATTATTTTAAATGCCCATATCTTTAACTCAATAAAATTTCATATCCAAGAATGTTTGACCTCTTCTGAAAACTTTTCACAAACATTCAGGTCTTTCTTTTTTAAAAACTGTTGAGTAGGAAATGAGTGATCCTCAGAACCTTCTATACTTTGGTATCATCACTCTAACAATTCTTCTATAAGCATTCTGCTTTAGCAAAATGTGTGTCTCTAGATATGTCCTAGATTTGTGAGGGCAAATATAACTCACATTGCCACAGATTTTCTTTTGTTATCAATTGGTATGCAATACAATGACTGAAAACTCAGTATTGGCAAAAAACTATGAGCATTTATTTGGCTCAAGTATCTGCTGGAGGTCATCCTAACTGGGCTAGGTGGCTCTGCTGATCTCAGCTGGGTCTTTCATCCATTTGTGGGTTAGTTGGAGTCCAGCTGATCTGGGCTCTCAACTTCCTTCTGGAGGCAGCAGGCTAGGCTGGGCTTGTTCTTCTCATGGTTGTGGTGGAAGCTGGAGAGAGCAGAAACATGGAAGGTCTCTGTAGGCCCAGTCTCAGTGGCACACTGCCATTTCTGACCCCCTGTACTGGCCAAAGCAGGTCACATGATGAATATCAAAGTCCTGAAGAAGAATTTCTCCAGTAGAAGGCAATCGGAAGAAAATATTTCTGAGCAATAATTTGACTTATTACAGACATTAGGTCATCAGAATACTTTTCTCTGCTGTGCCCAAGTATAGGTTTTATATCCTTAGCAGCCACTATAATTGCTAAAAAACTTGCTAAAAACTGGGAGAGGCCGGGCGTGGTGGCTCACGCCTGTAATCCCAGCACTTTGGGAGGCCGAGGCGGGTGGATCACGAGGTCAAGAGATCGAGACCATTCTGGTCAACATGGTGAAACCCCGTCTCTACTAAAAATACAAAAAATTAGCTGAGGCAGGAGAATTGCCTGAACCCAGGAGGCAGAGGTTCCGGTGAGCCGAGATCGCGCCATTGCACTCCAGCCTGGGTAACAAGAGCGAAACTCTGTCTCAAAAAAAACAAAACAAAACAAAACAAAACAAAACAAAACAAAACAAAACAAAACAAAAAAAACTAGGAGAGGAGGAGGAAACCTAATTAAGACTTCTGGTTTTATAATCATATGGGGGTGTGTGTGTGTGTGTGTGTGTGTGTGTGTGTGTGAATACACATATAATCTTATATATATATGTGAGTACTATAAAATATATGTATTACATACATATATTTAAACATATATATTTACATACATATATTTAAATATATATTTACAGAATATAGATCTGGACTTCAAATTCTGTCTTTCTACAATATAAAGCATCACAATGTTATATTTTGAGAATATTACACTTAGTTATTCAATTGTGACTGAGTTTGAAAAAACATGTACATAAAAGAAATGAAAATGACATTAGATTTTAAATCAATATTTTATTTACTTATATTTTGTTTTGTAAAAACAAAATATTTAGAATCTTTATAATACTTTTTCAATGTCACCTTAAAAATATGCATATGCTTTTTACAATTTTGAAACTGAGCTTAATAAGAACACATATAAATGCAACTACAATTCCAACCACCACCTACACAGCCCTTTAGTCCACTGATTTTTAAGCCATATTAACAAATCCTGTATAAATTAAAATGCTTCATTATTCTATTTTCAAATTAAACTTTCTAAATAACTTCCATTTTTCTTCTTGCATATGGTTGACATTTTAATTAAGATGTTATGATTTATGCCTCTGTGAATTTGTAGTTTCAACATTAAAACAAAGTGAAATTTACAGATTTTAAGAAAACATTTGGCAGTTTAATTTTAATAAGATGATCACTCTATTTACATGAAGTTGAAATAGTAAGTTAATAAAAATATTTGTTAAATCACTGCAAAATGCTTAAAATAACCAAAACAACGAATCTGAGAGATACAGGGAACTGACTCTTACCTGTAGATGAGTGTACTTGTAATATGTCATCTCAAGTTGAGCACTTTTATGAAAAAAAAAAAAAAGCTTTCACCGAAATGTCATTAATCAAACCACTGCTCACACTGCAATGACTTCCTAAGATGACTAACTTTAATTTGCATTTAACTAGCAATAATTTAGAAAGAAAACCATTTTTCCACAGAATTTCCTGCAAGTAGAAGCACTTTCGGAAACTTTGGTGTATAATCACTATTATTATTTAAGAGATTTTGGAAAATAAAGTGAGAATGGATGGCTTTTACTTAAGTAAATTTACAGATGCAGTGATAGAAGTATAATTGTAAAGTTGCCTCTGGATCTCTTAAACAACAAAATAATTTATCTTTTGGCCAATACTTCTCTTTGTTCCCTTAACTTTAGCTGCAATTTCTTTGTGTTGGGAAGTCGGCTGGAAAGCCAAAAGCTCCAGGACTTTCATCTAGTCCTTGGACATATTTGTCCCACCCTTCTCGTCCATTTCGCCAATGCTCATTCAGCGCCTCTGGCTTGTGTCTCACAACCTCTTTCAGATGTCTTTGCCAGGGGTCACTGTTAGTCAGGAATATGAGCTTAACACTATTTATCAGTTTCCTGGGTTTAAGCCCAGGCTTTTGTTACTATTCAGTCACATGATTTTGGCAAGGTAACTAAGATCCCTGAACTTCAATTTCCTCATCAAAATAGTGAAGGATGTGGAGAGAGAGATACATATATATAAATATATTTAAACACTATGAATTGCTTTGTCAATTACAAAGGACCAAATGCTATTTTTTTCAGGCACCATTTAATATTTTATTAACTAAGTTATACTAAATGTTATCAGTTGACTAGAGTAATGTCATAGTAAGTACTCTGGGATAAATCTCTGTCTGCTAGAAGATTCCTTAAGCTGAAGTCTATGTTAGCCAGCACTCCTAAAATGAGGGTGATTTTGCTGTGCCACAGATATGCCCAGTTTCCTGTATTCTTCTTAAAGGCACTTACCCTCTCTTTAAAGCCTTGATAACATTTCCCCTTCTTCCTTTATAAGCATTTTCAACGTCTTAAACATTTTAACCTGATGACTTCAACAGGAGCATGTTGTGGACTCAGCAGCTGTGGCTTTCACCACACAGCCAACACCTGAACAAGGACACAGATATTCTAACCACTATCCACACACTGCTTACCTATTTCCATCCTCAGAAACTTAAATTAATGGATTTTAAATTTCTTAACCTTTTTAGAGAAAAAAGTGGCAGGCCCAGGAATTTAGGTCCAAGCCTACATTCAAATAACACACTTCATTTAGAAGAATGTAAAACATAAACTCTCCTACTATAAACTTGAAAACTAGAGGGAAACTACCCAACATGTTAAATAAAAATTCCACAAGGCAGATACTGTATAGTGTGTCTTAAGTGAAAATATTTCACTCAATATGGTTTCCACATGCAGCCTAAGCCCTAACTGGTTTTTTAAAAAATGAATGTATGTTGGCTGGGTATGGTGGCTCACACCTGTAATCCCAGCATTTTGGGAGGCCAAAGCAGGAAGATCACTTGAGGTTGGGGGTTCAAGACCAGCCCAGCCAACATGGCGAAAATCTGTCTCTACTAAAAGTACAAAAAAAAAAATCCACCAGGTGTGGTGGCAGATGCCTGTAATCCCTGCTACTCAGCAGGCTGGGGGAGGAGAATCACTTAAACCCCAGAAGCAGAGGTTGTAGTTGAGATGGTGCCACTGTACTCCAGACTAGGTGACAGAAGGAGACTCCATCTCAAAAAATTAAAAATAAATGTATGTATAGAAAAAAAATGTACCTCTAATGAATTAAAGGATACTCATAACTATGAAATTTAAGAGAAAATGCTAATATTTAAGACGTATATATCAATGGAAACTGGAAATAAGAACTTGATTTTAAAAGGTATTAGTATCTGAATCAAAATAATAGCTAATTTAACAGAGTCTCTGTCTTACAGAAGATTGACCGAAATAAGTTGTGAAACTTTCTAGACACTTTTAAGCCCATTCAAAAAAACCAGAGACCCTTTAAAATAATGTAAGTCATAATTATAGTTCACAAACCAAGAATAACATACAATTTAAAAACAGAAAAGCAGGAGGAGATGATATCTCCTTTATGGATCTTGAGTAGTAGGTGGCAAATGTGGAAAACAACAGAAACAAAGGGTTCCATTCCCTGGTATCCCCCTAACCCTTTTTCATTAAAGTGTAGAGATTTTTAACACAAGACAAAAAGACAAAGAAGTGAGAATAATTCTGAAGTTTATCCATTAGCTTCATTATAGTGTGATTAATTAACAGTAAGGATAATAGCTGAAGTTTTCTAAATTCACATTCCTTGAAAGAATAGCTCACCCAGCATTATTTCTATTTGCCCTTTCACATCTTTGTGAAAAGATTCATTTGAAGGCTATTATTTTCCACTTATTTACTATTTTTTCTGGTTCAGGCAATTAATATTTGGTCATACACAAAAGGATTCTTTATTTCATATAGACATTAATACGCTTTTATAATCTAAGCATCACATCCTACAAATTACAGAGAAGATGTAAAAGACAAATGAAACATTCTACCACACACAGTGGGGGTGGGGGTGGGGATAAAGCACAATAAACATACTCAGGTAGATGTTTTAGAAAGTAGGTAATTTTCTGTGGTCTTCATGCTATCAGTAGCTGACCAATGAGACCAGAGTTTCTTTCCTTGATTAATGAAGCAATAACGATAGCACCTTGCCTTAAACTCTCCTGTCGCTTCTGCTCATCCTAAAAGAAAAAATAAAATAATAATATTTTAGGGAAAAATAATATGCCATGCATTAAATTTGATAAAAAACCACTTTTCAAGATCTGCTGCTGTCTAGATTTGGCATTTTAGAAACTCAGACCGTAGCCATTGTCATAGACATGGTTCCTCAAATAAAGAGGAAATACTTTGACAAACACTTTTCATTATGGACCAAAAAATATCTGTTTAAGATACAAGGAAAAACACTGACACAATTTCAAATGCTAACAGAAAGAAAAGATTATTTTCCCTTAATCCAATTTCTGACAACATTTGGCTCTTCGCTGAAGTGTGAGTTTTTCATCAATGATGCAATCCTTTTTTTCATCTTGTTTCTGAGTGTTGTCCAACTTTGTTATGAACTGTTTGTGAGTACTGGTATGGGGTAAAAAACCCTGCCTGCTGTTTTGTGAAGTAAGAAATTTCCAGGAAAATTCAAGAAATGAGTTATTTCACAAGTTGCTAAAAAGTGATTTTGCCTTTGAAATCATATTGCCTATAAGAATCCAATTTAGTATAATTATTTATAAAGAGGAGATGATAATATGAAAGGAATATAGAAACACAGCCAGTATCTTTCAGGTCTCTTTGTTGTGAATTATGCTGTATTTTAAAAGAGGGATGTGGTAACCAATGTCTAAACTCCAGAATCATCCTTAATGCCTTATCCCAACATCCGATATATTACTAAGACCTACTGATCCCTTTCCTAGTGTTTCTTCCATCCATATGCATTGGAATAAGGCATTAAGGATAATGCCTCTCAAACTGCCACTGCCAGAATAGCACCTTCTGCCCTGTATTACTGGAATATTCTCACAGACAGTCTCTCTAAAGTCTTGCCCTGTTATATTCCATTTTCCACAAATAAGTCAAAATACTTATTTTAAAATTAGATTTGAACATCAGTATCCTGCCTAAAATCCTTTGAAGACTACTTTTAAATGTCAGGATAAAGTCCGATCCCTTTACCTGGTAATAAAATGTCTCTTACCTTCCCAGCCTCTTCTTGATATTCCCCTAAAATTACTGAGTTCTCCAAGCCACACAGAACTGCTTAAGATTGTTCAAACAAGCTCTTTTTCTGCGCTTGAATCTCTTTGGACCAGCTAATTCCTTTGCCAGAAAAGCTTTCACATACCCTTTCTAGCTTAGCTGACCCTAATTACTCTTCCTGGTTCAACCTAGGTATTAGAGATTCTTGAAATTTACCCTGACTCCTATCCTCCAGCCCAGTTTGGGTGAAGTGACTATAGGTTTCCACAGCTGTGAATTCCTCTAGCACGTCACATTTTAATAGTCTTTTTTAGTTGACCGTCTATTTTACCAGTTGATACATTTTTTATGTAAAGAATTTTTCATTTTATCTTTGAATATGGAACACTTCGCTCAATGCCTAACACACCCTCCACAAATTGTAACAAATTCAAAGCCAAAGAGGTTCTGACTACAATAGGGATATTAACCTTTCAGTTAAACTCAATTGTTGACACTGACTGCAATTGCTTTCTTTGTTTACTCCTAATTGCATATTTAGCCTAAAGCCTGGCAATAGTACAAAACAAATATATTACTGAAGCCTCATCACAAACACTACCTGTTCCCACCGCCCTGTGTTTGGGTTCTTCAGCTGTGAGAATGATGGTGAGAGGCCATCTCTGCTTAAAGTGCTCTTTCCTATCAGTGTCCCTTATTGTGTGCTAAGGGGTGGGGCTGGAGAAGATCTGCAAGATGCTAAATGTCAGCTACTTCGATTCTTGCAAGTGGGTTTTATACGACATTTTAAAATTGGATTCAAGTGCTGTTAGAGTTTCCAGAATATCAAATACCTAAACCACATCTAAACAAATCATAAAACCATTTATGTTTGGGCTTAAAATATGATTCCTTTATATGAGAGTAGATTTCATCTGTGTCATCACTCATAAACATATAAATATTCTAAAATGGCAAATACAAACCAACTATTGATATGCATTTGTCATGTTTAATAATCAATTAATTACAGTGCTGCAGGGTGTATAATGTACATCTATTCCTAAGTCTCATTTATTAAATTGAGACGTAACACAAATGATGATAATTAAGGTTCCTCTTTCAAAAATAAACAGAACAAGTCTGTCTCTATCACCCTGCTGAAACCAGTTTATACTTGTTATAATGAAGACAGCACAATAACAAATGAAGAAATTAAGGAAAAACTGTTTAAGATCCCAGGGCTAGAAAAAAATCACATTTCTGTATCTTACAATAAATCATCTATGTTCACTTTGACAACTTCATAATGTATATATTTTTAGTTAAGAATTTAAGATGTCCTTTTAAAGATTGATTTACTTCTTCAGTTTTTTACAGGCTTCATTTTGAAAGATTAGAATTGAAGGACAAGAAACTATGTCATTCTACTGAACATTTGTTTTCCCTCTCTGCCTGAACTCATTTGGTCACTCTACCCTTAAGAAACATGGAAATTTCAAAACTGATTAAATAAGATTGTTAGACAGACATATGTTCAGGAAACTATAGTAAGTGAGAAGATTAGATATTCACACAATTCATGGATTTCAAACTCGTATCAAAATTCTGTATCTCTAGAACAGTATTGGTGATGCAGGAAAAAAAAAAAGCAAACCCAATATATATTATAAAAGCACTTCTTGCCTCCAGAAAACATGCAAAAAAATGGTTTTAAGCCTTGAGGAGAGTGGGGGGAAGAGATGCAATACAGGAGATCGTTTTATTATTCACATTCATAAATGTATAAGTATGTTTATGTATATATACAGATATGCACACCCACATACATATACATTTGTGAGTTCCAAATATTATAAACATTTAAAATGTTTACTAAACTCAGGTAAGCAGTCAATACGAAAAGTAAAAAAGCATGTTGATAGTACACACTCTTGAAATTATATGAAAATAGCATTTACGTTCGTGGGCTTCCTCCCAAAAACCTGTACCCTCCAGGCTACTTATGAGAAAGACACAGAAAAGTTCCCGTTGGAGGACATTCTACAACATACCTGACAAGTGCTCCTCAAAACTGTACAGGTCATCAAGAAACAAGAAAATTGTGAGAAACTGTCATAGCCAAGAGGTGCCTGAAAAGAACTAAAAGTGACAACTAAAAATAACGTGGGGTACTGGAACAGAAACACACATGTAGAACTATGGAAATATGACTAAACTATGGACTTCGTTAACAATACATCCATGTTGGTACATAAATTGTAACAAATGTACCATACTAATAATGGGAGAAACTGGGTGCAAGTATATGGAAACTCTCGGCGCATCCTCTCAATTTTTCTATCTATAAACTGAAGCATACCCCTTTTTAAAAGGTATCTTTAATTGATGACCATTTACAAATGCTATGTGCCAGATTACAAAACTTGAGTTACAAAGATAATTTATTTTTGCACATTGGTCCATTTATATATTTCTTGACATACAATATTTCTGTAATAAAGTATGCAGTTGAGAAGTCAGAATGCTGGTATTTACATACAGGTTTGACAGCTTAAGTGATCTTTGCACAAACTGCTGAAGTTGTATAGCTCTCCATTTTTCATCTAAAAATGGGATAACATTTTTGGTGGGAACTTAGGTAAGATATGTAAAGCACTGATACCTAGTAAACATTCAATAATAATAGCAATTAGAATGATTACTTTTAAGATGTAAACTAATCACAGCTATGACAGAGTAGTGTATAACACCCTCTCAGCATATATAACCATTAAGTCTGGAAAAGAGAATATTTCTCTTGAGAGAATATTTTTTGCAAGTCTTGGACAGTAACATATGCATGCTTATAATCCTTAAAAGAAGAACCTCCTAACATTCTCCCCAGCTGTTATGCTGAGAGCATGTTTCCAATCTACAAAGAAGAGAAACAGAACCCAAGGAGACCATAGCAATCTCTGGGTAGAAAAGACATACATAACAATTTAAAGCTGTCAAAGTGGCTTGTGTTTCTGTAGGCAGCGTCCCTGACAGGAAGGAATTGCAGAGAAGTCCTGAAAATCTGCTAAAAATTCCTTCAGTCCTTTGCCAGTTCCTAACTGTGCACATCCAGGGAGAAACTCAACGAGGTCCAGCAGAGTATAACTGCTGGGAACTTGGAGAGCTGAGGAGAGATTTTTGAGGTCCCACAGTGCCAAGGAGCAGGAGGTTGCATTTGAGTTCAGCTAGAATGAAGAGGCCTTGGTGAACACCCATGGCTTTTAGCTGGGATATCTGAAAAGCCATGACTACAGCCTGAGGATAAGGCCAAACTGAACCAGACCTGCCCTAAGAAAGCTTAAAGAACGTCCACAGGATCAAATTAATTCAGCAACACAACTGTTTGCTAGAACAAATTTTATATTCCTTAGAGGATATTAAAATAATCTAGAGCTTTTATGTTTTGTACCCAAAGTGTGGCATCAAATATCACTAGATAAGCCAAGAAGCAGAAAGCAAAAATATAGGGGGGAAAAACACCCAGAATCAAGAGAAAAAATAATTTAAGCAGACCCAGAAATGAGACATATCTTGGAATCAGCATGTGAGGATTTCAAACTAACTATGCATAACACATTAGAAAATAGACCTAGAGATAAAAATATTGATGAAAAATGGAAATTTTCAACATAGAATCTGTAAGAAAGAATTTTACAATTGTAAAATACTTGAAATTAGGAACTGGATTGGTTTTATACTGAATAGGCAGAGCAGAACACAGTATAAGTGATGTGGAAGATAGTAAAAAAAAAAAAAAAAATTGACCTGTAACACAGAGAGAAAAAAATGACAAATTAGTATTATAATCATTTTAATACTTTATGATCATATTACAATTCCATTTTCCTATTTCTACCTTATCTACTGACAACCCCCTTACCACTAGGAAATCTGTTTGGAACATTTAAAAAACCACATATGGGCTATCCTAGCAGCCAAGTCATGTGGGAATATTTGCTTTCAT